TCCTTGGAGAAATAAATCACTTCTTTCTTTTTACCGCTTAGAGTTTAGGGTCTTTTATCAGGACCTAAATGCCATAAACAATTCCAAGTAGGACATAGTTTGGGTTACTTTATTTTTTGTTTCAGTGCTGGGGATCAAATCTAGGTCTCATTCCTGCATGGCACACGCTTGACCACTGAGTCACATCCCCAAGGAGACACATCATTGTTTCACTATACATTGTTATCTGGACACATGGTACCACAAATAGGAAACATCTTAGGATACCGCTTAAGATGTTTAGGTAAGAAGAAACATAAAGAAGAAGAAAGAACTCCTGAAGGAAAAGACAACAATGACCCCATATAAATAAGAGAAGGTATCTTCTCATAAAAGAGGGGGCCCATTGAAAGAAATGCTATTCCTGGAGTAGGGTGATGTCTCAAAGGCTAGACCATAAGCTCTGCGTGTAGTAATCCTGGGTCTGAACCCTGGCACTCTATGAGTCTCAAAGTAGCCCCTTCCTCAATTCTTCACAACCCGTCCAAAAGCAAAAGGAGGGGAGGGGAATGTGTTTCCTATTTTATGAGTCCCAAAGTCACTTCAAGAGGAATGGAGGAGAGGAATATTTGTGAGGACTCAGAAATACTAGTACTGTAATACCTCACTTTTAAAACATCATACATGGAGTAGGAGAGACAGTACGCAAGTAGAACAATTGCCTTGCATGTAGCTGACCTAGGTTGGATACCCAATTATCTCGTATGGTTCCCCAAGCCCTGCTAGGAGTAATCCCTGAGAGCAGAGCTAAGAGTCAGCCCGGCTATAGCTGGTGTAGCCCCACATAAAAGTAGTACTGTAGCACTGTCCTCCCATTGTTCATCAATTTGCTCGAGCGGGCACCAGTAACGTCTCCATTGTGAGACTTGTTGTTATTGTTTTTGGCATATTGAATATGCCATGGGGAGCTTGCCAGGCTCTGCCCTGCCGGCAGGATACTCTTGGTAGCTTGCTGGGATCTCTGAGAGGGGCAGAGGAATCAAACCCCAGTTGGCCGTGTGCAAGGCAAAAGCCCTATCCACTATGCTATTGCTCCAGACAAAAGTAAATAAATTGAAAGAAATAAAAAATAAAATGCCATGCACAACCTTCAGATCAGCTCACTCTGGGCACACTTCTTTTTCATCAGGTTCGAGACTGCTTTTTCTGTTGCACTGATAAATCCATCCAGGTTCTCCCTCTAAGCTCAGCCAGACTCCCACACTGAAACACACGGCAGAGAGCAGCAGTTTTCGGCTCAGAAGACTCACCAGCTCACCTGAGAACACCATGCCTCACTGCCTGGTGAATAAATGAGAGCAGAACCAGAGCTGCTCTGGTCTGAACCTTTTCTTGGATTCATTCCCACCACTTTAAGGGAGGTGTTGTGGGAGGAGAAGTTGTCACTGGCTGCAGGAGGCTGAGTGACCCCAGAAAGTGAGTGAATGAAGGCTTTTGAGTCAGCACCCCGGACTTCCCCCAGAAGAGAAGGAAGCTGACTAGAAAAGCGAGCAATCGTCATCTCCATTCAGCTTGCCAGAACTTACCTTTGATATTAGGACACAAAAAAAATACATGAGATGTGTCCCAGCAAAGGAGTCTCTCTTAGGACAATCTCTACATAACACAGTTGTTTTATAACAAAAGAATTCAAGTGCTAGGAACAGCACTTCAGAACTGTAACTGGGAAGCACCTTAGTGGACCCAGAGGATAGAAACCAGAATGGCTGAGTGGCCACAGGTCGCAGAGCTTGACAGGGGTGTCAAGACTCAAATGCAAGCTAACTAGGATCTACCAAGAAAGAAAAATAGGACTATCATCGTGCCCATCAATTATGTTTGCCAAGAAATAAAGGTCCCAATGCCTTAGAACTCTCGTCTTATCACTATTCCTACAGTCAGAACACTTAGGGTATATACTCATTATAAAATGTTTAAAGATAATTCATCAATCAAATGGAGGGGACAATACCCACACATCAAGTTTGAAAGGAACTTCTGGACAAGAGAGATAGTACAGAGGTTAAGGGACTTCCCCTGCAGATGGCTAGCCCTAATACAATCCCCAGTACCCATATACATACCCCTCCCCCCAGGGCGAAGAGTGACTCAGGAGCACAGAGCCCAGGGCCAGCCTGATGTGGCCCAATACCTCTTACCCCCAAAAAAGATTTTCTGTCTCTGATATGCCTTACTGCTGGCATAAAATTTAATTTTCTCCATGCTTGTAGGTGCTTGAGACTGAAGATACATTGTTATTTCAAACATAAGTGATGGTAGATAAGAATTATCATTATAAAGTATATAATTCACACCGAAACTTCAGTGAGGTCTTCAGAGATACAAAGATCAATTTACTTCAAAGAATGAGGAAACTGGATTGCTAATATGTCTGCCAACAGTCAAACACAAGTGCCCAAATTTATAAAAACCAGATGATAAAAGTACATAGACTCTCTACGGTTAATAATAATAGGAACTTCCAGCACTTGCAGCTACAAATAGTGCTTTCCGTGGTGAGGAATTAAGTCCACACACTGTATCCTAGCAAAATTTTCACCCCGCACACACACTCACTCACGCACACACAAAGACTAACAGATGGATTCTAAAACACGGCTAAGCTTTCCCTAAGCCAAATGCTCAAATTTAATAAATGACAAACATCCCCCTAAGTGTGATACTGTGTAAATGAGCAGGACAAATCCCTTGGCGCTTTCACCTCTCCTCTTACTCCACCTCCTATTCCCAAACCACCTCTTCCACCCGCCTGCACCTCCCCTACTATGCAACCAAATCACAGCCGCCCAGAACCGAGTTGTCTCCTGCAGCCCAGAGCACTTGACTGATAATATCCGGTTTGCCATTCCAGGAAATCCCAGAGTGGGTTTTAAAGCCTCTGCCCACAGCTTGTAAAGAAAAACAAGAGAAGAACTAATCGATAGCAGCACCCCAGCTGTGCCCTGGCACATAAAGAAACCGAGAAAATACCCGCCCCCCTCCCCCGCCCCCGTCTTATTTAACAGTCGGAAGAGAGCAACATCTGGATCAACTCCAAAGCTGGACGATGCTGCTGCTGCTGGTCTGCGCTCCTGTTTGGAGTGTTAAAGCTGGTGACAAGGAGACCCTTCGGTTCCGGACTGGTTCGGCAAAGCCAATGTCTTTTCCCATCAAGGGTTAATCTACCCTGGAAAGGCTGGGGTGGGCTGGGAGGGGGGCGGTGGCAAAGAAAAAATAACAATCACAACGTTTACTCCTTGCCAGCAGAGTTCCTGGCAAAGGTTCCCCTTACACTTAGAAGAGAGGGAAAGCTGTGACCCCTTCCCAAAGGTGGTCCAGGACAAACTATTGTCTTGCCTACCTGCCAAAATAGAAGCCAAGGTAAAAATATAGGAGTGACTTTGTTCAATCAGACGGCCTTTCAGGGAACCCTAGAGTCCTCTCCCTCGACGAAGTTAAAAAAAAAAAAAGAAAAGAAAAGAAAAGAAAAAGCCCCCGTGACTATGACTCCCTGGAAAGCTTTCCAATTTTTTTTTTCATTACAGGAAAATGAATTTAGGACAGACGCAGATACCAACACACAGACTCTAAGCCTCTGGCTCTGGACCCAATTAAAAAAAAATTAAAGTACGCCAATCAGCAGGACAAAGCATCTATGAAATAAAGATTGTTAGTAAAAAGCCATCATGCTTTCTCCATGGTAAAAAAATCTTCGGAGAGCTCACCATGGCATTTTGGCTGCAGCGAGCTTGTCAAAGCGAGGCTGGGCTTCTTCATAACCACCACCACCACCCCTTCCCCAAAAGCACTGTCAAGGGGTGCCCCAGCTGAATGCAAACAAAAAAAAAATCAGAAAAAAAAAAAGAAAAGAAAAGAAAGAAAGGGTAGGAGGGACGGGAACTGCGATCGGCCCGCAACGGGAGGAGGGAAAGGAAGAGAGAGTCCCGTATTCATCAGTCAACATTAATGTCCTTTGTTGTTCACCTTTGCACAGAACGGGCGAGCGCGACCCGGTTCCTTCCCCACCGAACGCCCGAGCCCGGGCCATCCCTTCCTAAACGCCCGCTCCCCGCCTCCCCGAGGTCCGCTCCCCGCTCTCCCGCCGCGGGCCGCTCGGGCAGCCACCCCCGGCCGTGCTCACTCCGGCCAGAAGTGCAAAGCCGAGCTGAGACGCCCGCGCCTCTCGGAGCAGCAGCGCCGGGGACCGACGGGTTCCCCCTTCGCCCCCCTAGCCCGCGCCGCCGCTCCGCGCACCGCCCGGCTGCAAAGCCGGGATGGGGAGAGAGCAGGACGGGGCTCGCCCTGGGCTCGGGAGGGGCGCTCGGGAAGAGCCCCGTGTCACCTTCTGCACTCAGGGAATGCGGCCGCGAGCCCGGGGGGTTGTGCCTCCCGTCTGGGGTTGGGGGGGGGTGATATTGTTTATATTGTTTTGGGTTTTTCTCCCCCCCCCCCCCTCCGCTCCTTGTTGGTGGTGGTTCTCCCTTCCACCCTGGGGAAAACGTTGCAACCCACTGCTGCTGTCTACCCCGCCGTTTGGGTGGAAGAAAGGGAAGGAGCGAGAAGATCGCCGTTCGCCCTCCACTTCCAAGTTGACACACACACACAAACACACACACACGACTGGTGGCCACCCCAAACTCCGCACACCGAGCGGGCAGGCGGCGCAGTATCCCCCCAGACCAGACACACACACACACACCCGAGACCTCCCCCGGGCGTCCCAGCGCTCCAGAAGCCGCTGCCGGGACGACCACCGATCCCGCGGTGATGCCCTGACACCCCAGCTTGCAAGCCCTCACTCCAGGGCTGCTGGCTCCCAGAAAGCCTTGAACCCGCCACACGATGCCAAGGAATTTTTTTTTTTTTTTTTGGCATTTCCAGCCGGGCGAAGCGCAAGAGGGGCGCGGGGTTGCAAGGACGCGAGACGCGCACCGGGCTCTGGAGCCAGAGCGGAATAAAAAGTTCGCCCCGAGGAGACTCACCCACGCCGTATTTCTCGTGCTCCGTAGGTATCCACATGGTTAATAAAAGGGGGGGTGGGATTCCAAGAGTGCGGGTGGGGAGGGGGTCTTCGGGCTTTGTAAGATCCGCGCCCCTGCTCCGGCTCACACAACAATGCACAGCTCCCGAGGAGCGGCTGCCAGCGCTGGAGCCCCCCGCGGCTCGGCGCAGGCTGCGGGCGCTGCGGGCACGGTCTGCGCTGGAGGCTCCCGAAAGCCCCGGCGCTCCCACCGCGCGGCCGAAGCTGCGCCGCCCGCCGCTCTCCCGGCGGCGACTGCTCACAGTCCGCGGACGCGCTCCCGGGAAGCCGGCGGCGCAGTCATTGTTCTGATTCACTGAACTAAGCGAACACGCCGGGGCACTCTCGGGCGCACCCCCGCCCGCCAGCGCCTCTTCAGCCCTCCCTGCCCACAGCCCCCGAAGCACACTGGGATTTGTAGTTCGGACGGTGTGTGTGGGAGGAGGTGGACGAGGCGCTGGGGTGGGAGGAAACGCGCCTCATCCCGGAACGGGGCGGGGCATTCGTGATTGGAGGCGGGGATTTGGGTCCTGTAGCCACATTCGATTGGTCTAGAGCAGTGTGGCTGGGCGTGGACGTGGAGGAAACGCCTCCTGGATAAGGTTTTTTTTATTTTTTTAACCCTCCGTGAAGTTTTCATTGGTTCTTCGACTTGCTCGCCCCGCCCCCTCACCCCGCCCCTTTCACTCTCGCTCTAGTCATGGCTGCTCCCAAGACCTTGGGGACTGCTACCCAAGTAGACCCTGATGGCAGCCATCCGGGAGCCGGGGATGTCACTTATGAAGGTAAGTAGGATGCCGAGGAAGTGTTTGTGCTTTGTCTTCGTTGCTCCTCCCCCGGAAGATTTGACTAATCGCCGAGCAGACCCGTGGAGTCTTTTGGCTCTGAGACCAACCACCTGGCCGGGACCGGCCTGAGGGACGAGCCCTAGGGCAGAGGTGGGGTGGAAAACCGGCGCTCGGTAGGAAAGGGAGAGGAAAGTGAGAAGAAAGAAATAGCCGGTGACTCTCCTTCGGCGCCTGTTCTCTTTGTGATCGCTGCGGAATGGGTGCGGGTCAGTTTGGGTTGGCGCGTGCGGGATTCCAACTCCGAGAGGCGCGGCAGGTTTCTTCCGCGCCCGCAGGTCGGAGGGGCGTGGCCTCGAGGGGTGGGGAGTATCTTTCATTGGGGCTTTTGGCGTTTTTTCAGTGGCTGCCCTGTCCCTTCTCTATAGATTTGCTCTGTGGCTAGCTGGTGCGGCCTCTGTGTAGTTCCTCGCACCTCCAAGGATCTCCGAGGGACCTTCCCCGGCTTGTCTTTAGTGACCAAGAGGGAAAAAGAAGTAATCGAATACTTCCTTGGAAGTTATGATACTTCCAGGAAGTTATGAAAACCATCACAACTGCTTCCCTACGACTTGATTTTCGGGTTGTCCATCAAAGCACTTCAGACAACCAAACCCAAACTTTAAAAGCTGTCTTTCAAAGACTCTTGGCGTCTTTAGCTCTAAAGGGACTTGTCTTTAGGATCATTAACCCCATTCTTTCATTAACTGCCCTTAGTTCTACATCCCCCCCCTTTTTTTTTTGCCTTGGCCTGTAATTTAGCAGAGCAGATTGTCTTTTTCTCGTGCATGGTGTTTGAGGCTTATATTTGATACTAAATTTTTATTGAAATATTTTGTTTGATTTGGTTTTTGTTGCTTTCGCTGTTAAACGGGCTTAATTTTTTCTTTCTCATCCCTGTTGAAATTGTGATTTCTTCCCTTTTTCCAACAATGGAACTCTAGTTTTGAAATTGTTGCAAACCCTCTATTCAAGAAATTTTTCTTGCGGAGGACATAGTACAGCAAGCATGGCACTATGGCACTTGCCTTGCATGAGACTGATCTGGATTTGTTCCACCTCGAGTATCCCTGAGCATATCCTGAATACTCTCTGAGTACCACCGAATGTAGCCTCAATCCCCAGCACTCAAAAAAAAAAAAAAATTGGACAAGCAGGCCTATGACTTAAATGTAGTTATTCACACCCCCAACCGTTCAATTTTGAGTTGGTTATATGGTTGGTACTTTCCTCATAGTAACAGACTATTAAGGTTTTCTAGATTTTCAAAGTTTCGGAGAGATATACTTAAACATGATCTCTGGTGAATTTTTCTTGCAGATCAGTTTATCAAAAGAAATTTATATAATTAAATATTTCTTTTAAAAACATTGTAAAATAGTTTAAATGATTTTTAAATTATGAGATCTTTTGTTAGAAATATTTTTAAAATGTTGCAAGATGAGGAAGGTAAAACCAGAAAATTGCTCCAGTACACACAGCTCAACCAAGCTACAACTGTTGAAGACTTAATAGGTGCTTTTTCTCACATATTCCTGTATGACACACATCTGGATGTTTGGTTTTTGATTTGTTTGTTTCATAATAAAAATAGATCAGCCTCTCATTGCAGCACTGTTTACAATAGCTAGAATCTGGAAAAAACCTGAATGCCCAAGAAGAGATGACTGGTTAAAGAAACTTTGGTACATCTGCACAATGGAGTACTATGTAGCTGTTAGAAAAGATGAAATCATGAAATTTATATACAAGTGGCACTACATGGAAAGTATCATGCTCAGCGAAATGAGTCAGAAAGAGAGGGGCAGACACAGAAAGATTGCATTCATCTGGGGAAAATAAAGTAACAAAATAGGATACTAACACCCAAGAATAGCCGAGATAGGTATCAGGAGATTTACTGCATGGCTTGAAGGCCAGCCACACATGCTGGGAGAAAAGGCAGCTCAGATAGAGAAGGGAGGACCAAATAAAGGGTTGTGAGGATCCTCCCAAGATGGGAGATGCGTGCTGAGAGTAGACTCTAGACCAAACATGATTGCCACTCAGTGCCTCTTTTACAAACCACAGCACCCAAAAGGAGAGAGAGAACAAGGGGGTATGCCCTGCCACAGAGGCAGGGTGGGATGGAGGGGACAGGGGGTGGGAGGGATACTGGGATCAGTGGTGCTGGAGAATGGGCACTGGTGGAGGGATGGGTATTCTATCATTGTATAACTGAAACCCAAGCACAAAAATTTGTAAATCTACAACTGTACCTCATGGTGTTAAACTAATAAAAATCTAAATAAAAAAAAAATAAATAAATAAAATAAAAAAATTTTTTTTTAAAAAGTAGATCAGCCTGGAGCCAAGGAGGTAGCCCAGAGACTCTAGCTGTGTTTTGCATGAGAAGGCTTGGGTTCTATCCCAAGCACCTCATGGTCCCCATGATCAAGTTGGGCTATAACCCCTAAGCTCACCCCCAAATCTTCAAGCCCTCTCTGGACCAAAAGTAACTGTCACCGTCCTCCCGTTGTTCATCGATTTGTTTGAGCGGGCCCAGTAACATCTCCATTGGAGACTTCGTTGTTACTGTGTTTGGCATATCGAATACATCACGGGTAGCTTGCCAGGCTCTGCCGTGTGGCGAGATACTCTCGGTAGCTTGCCGGGCTCTACGAGCGGGGTGGAGGAATTGAACTCTGGTCAGCCATGTTGGCTGCGTGCAAGGCAAACGCCCTACCGCTGTGCTATCGCTCCAGCCCAGATTAGTCTATTTATGCTCAGAGATTTGCAGTCATCTTTCTCCCAATTATCTGTACTAGACTCTTCCGTATAGTACATTTACTGCATCCTCTTTTTCTAGGGACTGAGTTCATAACCTTCCATCAAGTGGATGTACCAAACTTTAGTCATGCCTCCATTTATGAACATGCAGTATGATTTTAATCTTTCAACAGTGTTGTGAGCAATAGTTTATTGTACATTTTCTTGCTCACAAGGCATGTATATCTTAAAGAAACATGGGGTCGATTGGTACACTTTATAAATTTTGATGGTCAGTACAGTCATGTGAGTAATATGTAACATTGTCTTTTCATAGAATTAAGTATATTTACAGATAACAAATATACTGACCAACTCTGAGAAAATTATTAGGCTAGGAACAATAAATGACTGTTGGACTGAATTGAGTAACTGAGAGGAAACTTGATTTTCTTTCCAATTTTTAAATTTTGCTTTGAGGCTACACCCAGCAGTACTCAGAGCTTAGTCCTAGCTCTGCACTCAAGGATCACTTCTGGTGGGCTTGGGGGACCTCATGGAGCACTGGGGATTGAACCTGGGTCTGCTGCGTGCAAGTCAAGCGACCTATCACTCCAACCCTTCTGTTCCAGTAATTTTTGACAAAAGTATTTATAATTAAGCAACTGTGAATATGCAGAATCTATAACACTAAATGGTTATCTACCCTGGATAAGCATTGTCACTAATTTGTAGCAGTCAGTGGGAGAACTTCATGATTGATTTTTATGTCATTCTTAATCGATTGAGTTTCCATTAAAAATCCCTTAAGTGTCATTTGCTACTTTATTCAATTCCTTTTTAAAGCCTTCTAAATGTGATTCAAATTTTGGTTGGAAATAATGATATTAGACGTCTATTCATTTTTTTTTTGTTAAGCAATAACTAAAATTTGCCTTTCCCAGTTAAACAATTTTCTGTAAACTGCCTCTTTTTTCAAATTTTTTTATTTTATTGAATCACTGTGAGATACAGTTACAAATCTGTCATGTTTGAGTATCAGTCATACAATGATTGAACACCCATCCCTCCACCAGTGCACATTTTCCACCACCAATGTCCCCAGTATCCCTTCCCAACCCACCCCTCCCCCTGTCTCTGTGGCAGACAATTTTCCCCATACTTTCTCTCTACTTTTGGGCATTATGTGAAAACTGCCTCTTTTAAGAAGTTTCCTCAAACTCTGCTTAAAACGTCCATCTGTGTAAAATATCCAAGAACAGAGTGGAGTGGGGAGACTTTGTATAGGAATCCTCTCAGCTCTCTTAAGATTATTTCCAAAGTGAGCCATTTGGTATGTACTGGGAAGTACAGTACCTCCCCTGAGACCATCCTTGCCAGGTTCCCAAAGCTCCATCTTTCAGAGGTTTCTGCTCTTCCTGACACATTGCTTTCCAAGCATTTGAACAGTAGATAGGATTCTCTATTTTGCCCTAGCATCGAACAATGGTAAATGGACTTAACATTTCTCACCTGTGGGGTTGTGTTTATCTCTTTCTTTTGCTCTATAGTTAAGTAGTAAGAAGATATATATCTCTAATTTACTACTAATACTTTCAGGAACTTCTTGCTACAGAGGCAATTTCTGATGGTGTTAATTTAGGCTTCTGTAGTGTACTGTTCTGACAGCTCAGTTCTTTTCCTTGGGAATGAGTGTCCAATAGATGATGATCACCATAATACTACTTCAGATCTATAATGCTTTTTCTCTCGAGATTTTGTAATCGATGATTTGCATGTTTCTAGAAAAAAATGGGGGTAGCAGGCAGAGTCACCTCCTCATTCTTGTATTTCCTATTTCGTTCAATGGAATCAGGCCTTAACTCAGATCCTAGGAAGATGTTTTATGTGTGTCATAACGCTCAGATCAGGAATCTGATCATTGTCATTTAGATCTAATTTTTCTGTTCCTGAAATAACCTTGATTGTGTTCTAAGTTCCTTCACTTCATGTCTTTACCCACTTTTATGCTCTTTCTAAGAGCATGTATTCACTGCTGAAATACCCAAGTCCTCACCCTCCAAACTGTTCCCTTGGAGGCCAAAATTTTGTTGTACTTATTTTTGTTGTCAGTACATTACCAGTGTTTCATAGATGTTTGTCCAGAACTAAATTCTAACCTGATTTGGATTACAAAACCTTCCTGTGAACCTCATTGACTTCTGTCTTCCGCC